AATTTATAGAAACAAGGATCATTTCATTCATAATGGATTCGAGATTTTGTATATTATTTGAATTGTTTATCACCATTTATGGATTTCTCGCCAATTAAATTATTAACTTTTGCATTTGTTTTTGTGTGAATAATTCATGAATTTGTAAATTGATTGCACGTTTATCGTAATATATATATATATATATATATATTAGATAAGCACCAAGTGATCAAATGTATTAATTTGACATAAGAGGCTTACCATAATTTCCTCAAATAGTGACATTTTTCACTTTCAGTTTCTATCACAGCTTTACATTTCTTGTATTTTTCGTGACCCAGAATCCTGAAACTTTAGAGTTGACACACAAAACAAAACTAAAAAATACTAAAAGTTTATATCACATCAAGAGACGCTTCAAATTCAGACAATCCCAACCAAAATGAGACGTATGCTAAATCTATTTAATAAGGATATTTGCCTTTTGATTTTAATTTTTGTCATTTAAGCACAGAAAAATTCCTTCTAACATGGTTTTAAAGATGAAGCTTATTTTTAGCAGAATATTTTTTTATATAATATTCTAGAAACAGTTTGTAAAGTTTTCTTTTCTGTTTTCTGACAAGATTTACATGTGTTTATTAAGACTGGCATTACTTCTTGATTTTCAACACAATTTCAATCACTTTTGTTTGTAACATATCTGCTTTGAAAGACAGAAAACAGCAATAATTTCTCATTTCTATGGATGACAATAAGGAAGGAATCATTTATTTTAGGTGACAGATTTTATATTTTGTCATCTCCAGCCAGACATGACCACCAACAAAATGTTTATTGTTAAGCATTAAAGAAACTACATGTTGTACAGTAATGGTCTTTATTAACTTCAAACCAATGCTTTCTAGCCAAACTTTTTAGCATTGATAGAATAATTTAAGCCATTGGACAAAGATGGAAGAGATATTTATGTATCATAGTGGCAAAAAATACAATTTTCTTTGAGCTGATTTTGTCATGGAAAAGCTGTTTTATTTAGTGTTGGAGGAAGAGTCCATTTGTACAAAAGTGAAATAGCCTTTTATTTTGGAATGTTCTATTATACAATTTTAATAGCTACTTTGTAATTCCCCCATCACTAATGTCAATTTTCTATAATCAACACACAGCAATGTTTAGGAGCAATCCACTTGTAATTTGGATACAAATATCAACAAGATTCTGAGTTTTAGAGAAAATTTATTGGAAATTAAAATTTAAATCTATTGCACAATTCAGACTAGATTTAAGTTACAAAGATTTTTATAGATTGAACAAGAGATAAAGGTATTAAATATTTATGCTGAGTTCTGAAGTTACAGACAAATAAATACTTCCAGCTGTTGAAAAAGAAATTAGTTTTCTTTCTCTGTGATTTACAATGAAACAATTGATTGGTTAGATAATTGTAAACTGTTATATAATGTACATTGTTGTAGTATGAATTGTTTTTACCTCTGAAAAATACTAAAACTACTTGGTCCAATTTATTTTTTATTTTTCTCTATCATTATCTTACCTCATTTGAAGAGGTGTCTAGTCCTGTGTAATAAATTTAATCTTCTTATATTAATTCTAAGTCATTGAACAATAAAGTTATGTTGATAGGATGGGGATTGGGCAATATGTGTAGCACCAATATATATATATATATATATATATATATATATATATATATATAACACATACATATATACACAAAACAAATGTGTGTTTCTTTGTAAAGCTATTCATATTTTTATTCATATGTAAGAGTCTAGACTGAATAATTATTTCATATTTGGCATATATAACCTCAAAATACATTCATATAAAATCATATAATTTACATGATGCTCAAAACTAAACTAGGTAGATACCAATAACAATATAAATCATACCTATAATTATGGACTTCTTTTTATAATTTAAAAAAAATATATTGCAATAATTTAAATATCTTAAGTTTTCATTTTTGATTTTAACTTCAAGAAATTAGCATAAAGTTAGTTGTAAAAAGTAAAAATTACTTTTGTACTCTGAAATTAAGTCTTAAACTGTTTTAATGCAAATTTTGTCATTTAAAATTAACTTTTGTTATAGCTTCAATGATGTCAGCCAATAGAAAAAAATTAAACCCTGTAAATCTTGGAAAAATAAAGTCCTATTTTTGTACTTTACAAATACATTTTGTACACTAAATATGACAATTTTAAATTGTTACATTTAGTGTATAAAATGTACTTACAAATATAAAAACTAAAATAGGATCGATGTGAATATTTGTTATAGAAATATATAAATTGATAAAAATTAGTTAATAATAACTGAATTTAAAAAAGTAATTATTTTTTACCTTTGGAAATCTGCAGAAATTCTAACTTTTTTTTCTTTTTTATTGAATTTTTTTATAATAGTGACCTTGAGATACTTGTACAATTTTATCTTTTCACTACTAATTTAACTTTTAAATACTTTACCTTTCATACTTGTAGCAAGTCATTTAGATAAAATAGGTCAGAAATGCATAAAGCAGTTCCAATGCATCAATATTTTTCAAATAGATTTTTCATGACATCTATTTCCTTTAATCATGACCTGTGTAAATTCCAAGGTTTTTGCTAATTTTTATGACAAACTGATGGAGTCAGGCTAACATATTTCATGTGATCTCCAATTTCACTGAAGTAGATGTTAAATGCATGAGAGCATTATCACCTCCTCTAGCTTTCTTTTTCTTCCATTTTAGTAACACATATATATAGCTTCAACATATCCCAGAATGAGACTAGCCAGAAGTAAACAAAATAGTTAGGGATTTACTCCATCTGCTACTGCTGCTGCTATACCAGAAATTTGTTGGCAAGGGACAGGCAAACTATTACAAGGTGTAACTTACTAATGAAGGAACAAACAGAATTATGATTTAAAATATCATGAAAGATCCAATCATTTATACTGGGTGACTTGTTACCTCAGTTCAAAAGTCAAGTTGGTATCAAGTTACTTTTCCTTGTATGTGGTGAAAGCCTGCTTAAATTTATGATCATTTCAGAGGATAACAAATATATGGATAACAAAAAAATTGACAAAATCTGATATTTACTAAAAATGGCAAAAGACACATTTCCAACATTAAAACTGTCATATGATGGACATAACTAGTTTTGAAAACTAGAGTTTGAAAGCATCTGAGTAACATTTGGGGCTAAAAGATGTTCATTGTTTGATGGTTAACAAGAAGACAGGGTCAAGGAAGGCCACAAGGAATAGAAATCAGACTAGTCATAGCTGTTGATAGTTTGAAAAAATAAGATTTGGGTTGAGGACATTTGAAACAACAGATGTCAGTTATATTTAATCCCTAGAGAATAGAGGGCGGGGGGGAGGAGAAAAGAAAGTGAAAGAGGACTTTGATTCCCCTATTCTCTGTACTTTGGTTTTGTTTGTAGAGTCAAACTTTTCCCACTTTACAATTCCTGTCCCAATCAGAACTGTGACCATTCACAGATAGGGCAATAATAAGTACAATATGCTCAGCTCTAGTGGGGTATCACCTCGAGCTGCAACTTTCTCATTGTACTAAATGGATTCAAATCTCACTGTCAGACTCTGATAATTCAAGAAATTCTGGACTGATTTTGAGCAATTTTTGTAACTAATCCCATGTACACATGAAATTCCTACTTTAAAAATGGTCTTGTGCTAAATTCTGGTTGAATGGAAGGATAAATAAATACCCATCTTGGAATTTGTAGAAAACTGCTGAACAAACAATGAAAAGGTCAGTTTGAAGAAAATGGCAATTGAAGAAAAGAACAAAATTCACTATGAAGGTTTAAGATTCTTGAGAAGTTTATATTACAACCTCTCTTTGACTTTGTGGCATCTGTTTGAGTCTATGGATGGCATAGACTCAAACTTGTCAGATGAATTATTCACTATTTTTCCCCTGCTTCTCTCAGTAATCCCTTGCATCTTATTGGCTTTATTGCTTTGCTTGGGGTGAAATGATTAAAAAAATATAAACAAAATTATTCAATTTTTCCTTGTCTTGTTTTATCCTGTGACACAAAACAAATTTTAATAAAATAACACACAAATGTCAAGAAAACTTTTATTTTATAATTACTCAATCACATCATTTACAAAATATCAAAAGTATATAAATATAATTATTTAACAACAATACGGAGTTTGATGAAATATATAAAGTTTATTAACAAATGTTTGGATTGTACAAACCACTGCATTTTCCATATTTGTATTGAGTGATGCATGCTGGGTAATGAGACTATGTTTTAGAAAACTGGCCAATGCATTTGTTTATTCATAAGCAGAAAAAATCAGATGAACTTAAAAAATTAAAATTATTCTTTGAGTAGACAATTATTGGGTTAGCATGTTCGGTTCGGCATTTGGCAGTGATAATTTCATCTGTGCGTAATATACAAATTCTATCAGGTTACATTGTACCAGGACCAGTGTGTAATCTTTGACCTAACCTGTTGGGAATGATGGGTTCATGCCTTTCTTAAGGACATTATTAAAAAGTTAACACAAACTACCTCAGCTGCAATTTGAAAACAAAGATTCTGTTTTATATCCTGTTAATTGTAAAGCCAAACCCTAACTCTTCCCATAAAAACTTCAGATATTTTCATTTTGTTACATTTTTCAAAATATTTTCAATAATGCTTCCATTTCCTATTATCATGGCAATATTATGGAATGTCTTTGATGGGGCTAATCTCTCTAAGCAAGTTGCTAGAGAAATGAACCTTATTCTCACTGGGTGCACCCCCCTCCCCAACCAATATGGCCACATTAATCTAAGCTTAGTGAATAATTCTAAAGCAGTTATTGTCTTAATCCTTCTCTTCATAATTTTCTGATTTTAAAAATCTTATTAAGTGTTATTATCTGGATCAATTATTGATTAATTTACATTAGTTTATGGGTTGAAAAAAGATTTACTTTTCTCTCTCTTTCTATTTCAGATAATCCGTTGCAGTGATGCATGTCCAGTTGTAGTGATTGTGGCCAGTTCTAAGTTGTGTGAATCTCTTCGTCCCGGTCAAAGTTGCCATTGGCAAGGATATGAATTTACAGTGCCTGCAACATGTCCTTCACGACTGGACATGTGTAAAATTATCAGCATCAAATATTGTGTGGCTGTGAGTAGAGAATCCATGACAAATTAATCATTCAATTGCCTTCTGTACTTGTGAATTACTTTTATTACAAATATCATTGTGCCAAATATCTATATAGGTTTGTTTGCTTTTATTGTAATAAGATGTGCTAATGGTAGATGTACTAACTGAATGTTAAAGTACTAAATGCTGTTGAAGGAAACTATTGAACCCAAAAATAGTTCTTTTTTTATTGTTAAAAGATAAACAGAAAGGAAAAAAAATCAATGTCCACTACAATTATGTGATTTACACGGAATTGACCTAATTACTATAAGTGATCAATCTCATTTCACAACTTAATATGTATCTCTCTCAGACACACAAATATATCAGTATTATTCTCATTTCATTCAATAACTATTTACAGAAATATATTTTATTTTCCTAAATATAATATAAAAAATAGCCATGGTTAGCCAACATCATTTTTTTTTTTTTTTATTATTCAGGATGGTTGAGAAATTTTATTTTTTTATTTGAAAATTTGTCTGAACATTTGCAAAGATTTTTTTTCTTGTTTGTAAAACAAACAATTCAAAGCTAATGATTTTACTTTTTTTTACATTTTTCTGTGAACGAACAAGAATAATTAACTTAGATAATTTATCTCATTCTGCAACTACCAATCAATTATGAAATCAATGAAACTGAATCCATTTTCATGACACAATGTAAAAAGACAGATTAACTGGATTACAAGTATATTCATTCGGCTACCAAATCATTTAGAAAAACAGAACAATAACATGTTTACATTCAGTTATTTAGTCGAGCACAAGGCCATGGTAGTTGAGCGTCCATGAAGCTTGAACTCACAACCCAAGCAAATTGGTCTACAAGACCAACTTGTTAAACATAGTTCCACAGTAGACACCCGTCTCTTACTAAGTATAGTTAAAGTTTGGTTTAAAGGTAAAATAGTGAATTGAATTCTTATGTGTCTCACTAACAAATTCATCTTCAAAATTTTAATTTCTTAATTGTCATTCAATAAGAAGCAACCAAACACTCGGATGGTTTCTTATAAACCATCAAAAAAAAAAAAAAAAAAAAAAAAGTGATCATTTGTCTTTGCTGCTTTTTATGAAGAGAAACTTGATTTCTCAATATTTTTTTAAACTAACCTAGGAATACTATTTTTGAATAAATACCAGATGGTACTTTCTTTATTTGGAACTGGATTTATCTATATTGAACAAAAGCCAAAAGTTCTAGTGTGTATTCATTGATGTTTGAGATAGAAAAGCCCCAATAAAATAGATTGTTAAATGTTCATATATTTGAGATGTTCAAAAAGAAAAAAAAACCTTCATTGAAATATCTATTTCTTCAGACATTGCTATTTAATAGCATAAATAGAAAAAAACTTATAATTAAAAAAGAATATAATTTTAGATCTATAAAGTAAGATGTTTTCAATGTTTTGAAATAAACAGATAATGTATTACATTTAAGAATATTTTTAACTTGTCTGTCATGTGAGTTTATTAGATAAAGTTAAATCTCACATAAGCTTGAAATAAATTAATCATGAAAACTTTGTTTCAGTCAAATGTTTTGACTGATTCTTTTTACATAAAAGGCTGTTTTCATGTTATTTTATCAACATTTGTAGAATCAAAATAAGAAAAATAGCTATTTTTTCTTTTTTTTCTTTACTAAATATTCACCCAATATAAAGGTCCCCAAGAACCACTCAAGGTAGAGGATTATTAAATGAAGTTGATGTATGGATGTTGGAGGAGGAAGTAAGTACTGATTATGAGGATATGTAGGACAGGTAATAGTTGAACCTAGACTTGAAGAGGTCAAGGGAAGCATCCTCTTGGGAGTCTGTTCCATAAAATAATGGCTCTTTGGAAGAAGCTGTCTGATTGGAACTTCCTTCTTACTAATGGAATACAAAAGGAATGACAATGAGTCAACGCTGTGTATATGGCTTCACAGGTGTAAATATCAAAACTGCTGGAACTAGGGAATGTGGAATGTCAGAATATTTTCCATGAAAATAACAATAGATTCATGAGTGGATTGTAACCTTTCATTTGAGAGAAAGGAGTTACAGAGTAGGAAATTAATAATCATCCACAAGGTCACGTATGCACTTTTGAACTCTGCCAATCCCAAAATGAGTGAACCAAGCAGCTCTAGTGCTGATATGGCAGTAATACTCCATTTTGGGTGGGATCTGTGATTTTTGTAAAGACAGAGCTTTTAGCATCTAAAAGCTTATATGACCAGGTACAGCAACATGAAAAATGTTTAAGAATTGTTAGAGGATTAGTCAAAATATTTTTACTCTTTCATGAAAAAAAGATCCAGATTTAGAAATGGATTTTGCTTATTTTAAGGAAGATTAGATTCTCAACATTGCAGATTGAGTATATGAAGACCATGTATCTCTACAATTGGGAAGACAACAAAATATGGCAAGCAGCAAAGTGATTTCTAAAAGATTGTTAATTATAAAAACTAAATTTTGGCAAAATATCTTGAAAGATAATAATCTGTGACTGATAAACATCTTCCTCTTTCCAATCTGTGACTGATAAACATCTTCCTCTTTCCAATCTGTGACTGATAAACATCTTCCTCTTTCCAATCTGTGACTGATAAACATCTTCCTCTTTCCAATCTGTGACTGATAAACATCTTTCTCTTTCCAATCTGTGACTGATAAACATCTTCCTCTTTCCAAAGTGTGTTTTTCACCAATGATTTCTTCAGTCATCATTTTTTTTTTTAAAGTTTGAAGCTAATTTGGTCAGTTTAAATCCTTCAAGCATTATTTAAATATTTCATTGTCAATAGTTACAAACAGGATTCATAAAAAAATGTAATCTATCATAGCTGGGTAAACATGAGCCTCCCAGATACCACAACATCACATAAAACCTGAGTGCTGTTGATTTTTTTTTTTTTTAACTATTTTGGTGGAGAAAATAGTGTGTGTGTGTGTGTGTGTATGTGGGGGTGGGGGCTACATGTAATCAAATACAGTATATGTTTTCATTCTGGTTCATAATGTATTTTAACTTTGACATATTCAACCCTTTAGTTCATGTAGGGTCAGTTTTTCGTACTGCTGCTATGCACTTTTTATGTAAGCAAAAATAATATAATATTGTAATAATTGCAATAAAAGTACTTTTCTACAAAACTCATGTTTATCAGATTATTTTTTAGAGTGGAGTGGTAATTCTCATTATGTTGCCAGCGGCAGCAAGAACCAATAAAAGACTTTAATGAAAGAGCTTTCTGATTTATATACAACTTTGCCAATGAAAAACAAGAAAATACAAATGTTTGAAGTAAAAAGATTTTCACTTTTTAAACACTTAATTTAATTTCATAATATTTTGCTTTGCTCTTAAAATGGAAGAGTTTTCTATTTCCTTCTCAGAGCATGACTAAATTTGTTACATTGTCTTGAAAAAAATATTTTAAGTTTATTGTATATAATTAAAATTTGAAATTACAGTTTGAAATTCTTCCACTTTCAAGACAATATCACCAACTGGGAGGCATTTTTCATTTACTTTCATATAAAATTATATAACGTAGATTTTGGGGAGTTGGGGATACAAAATTTTATTAAAGCTTTAAAAATGTACATTCTAAAAATATATCTAAATATAGTGACCTCCACAAAAAATGATACCTAAGGTTTAAAATGAATTTTTAAAAATGAAAAATCTTTGTTGAAGCTTTTATTTTTGTTGATTTCCCAAGATGAAAATGATTGCAAAAGTTTTCCCTCTCTTATAGTCAGAAGGACACAGAATGCATCCTGGGATATTTTTCTTTGCCAATAAAATGGGACAGTTTGCATTTTGACATGACTGTCCAGATCTGCCTTAACTACTAGACAAACATACTGTGTTTGCTTGGTCGACCTTGCTTTTGTATACAAACACCAACACCTAGCTTGTAAATTCTTTTGCCTTCTTATCAATTTTGATTTGCTTTAACGATATTGTTTGCTTGCTTGCATGATTGTTGCTGTGTCATACTTTTTACTATTTTTCTTTTCATTGCAAACTTTATTAATTCTGATCATGTTATTTAGCTTTCACTTTAACAATGGCTTCTAACTCATCAATTTTAGTTTTAATTTCAAGCTAATAGCTTAAATTTAATATTTCCAATATGCAAAATACTTTGCTGTATTTAAAAAATTAATTTAAATTAAGTGGAAGGAGTTTTTTCTGCTAAAATAGCTATTTAGTGCCCTTTTTTAGTCATCTTTCAACGCAATGTAATTCTCTTATAAACATCTTCCAAAAATAAAATATACTTTCCTGAAACTTATTAAATATTAGCTGATTTAAAGTGTAATTAATCTAATTTGAAACAAATATTATTTACTTTAAGTTTAAAATATTGCAGAAATGCATTTTTAACCTAACAGTAGCTGTGTTAGCATGCTGACAGCCTGATCACTGATCTAATTTTGTTCTAGGAAGACTATCTGTAAAATATAAGTGAAGAAAATGACATGAGCGCCTTTTTATATAATTTTTTAAGTACTCAGTCATTTTAAAAATTTAGGAAAATATTCTCCATAATCTAATATTTTATTAAATTTTAGAATTGATGGCTTTAAATTTACTATCACTTTGTTATCACTCTTATTTTCTGATAATGTCATGAATGGTTGCCCATACTTACAAAATTGGCATGTTTATACACATACAAAAAAATTCTAAATTCTTATAAATATATTGGTGTTTGATTAAGCTTTTCCATTTAGGATTAGTAAATGTAGTTTTCACTTAATAATATACAACATCTAAAAGGCTGAAATTAATACAAAATTCTAGATTTAAAACTTAATAAATTTTTCTAATTAAAATTTAACAAAAAAAGGAAAAATTCTTGTAAAAATTCATTATTCATTGAAAAAAGTTTTTTCTTAAAACAATAGTACCCTTAATATATCTTATTTATAAAACCAATTAAAAGCTTTTCTAATTAAA